GAACGTCTCGAGGAAATTTCGGAAAGTAACATGCCTTGTACACATGATCGCACCCACTTATGATGCCGTGTACCGTCTGTCGGTAAATATACAAATTTAGTTATTTATTTACTTATGTACCTGTAGGGGTAGTTTGTTCCACCGATCAGTGTATCTCAATAAGAAGAAATTCGATCGAGTTTTATGACTTGAAAGGTTTGTACGTATCAAGTAGCCGCCATTACGTGTGGGGTAGACTGCAGTCTTCCGTAGTTCAAGTGCGGTGCTGTCTGCGTAAATTCGTTGGTTTATAATGTTGTACAACAGAATGAGGTTGTTCTTTAAGCGTCTCAGCCAAAGAGGATCCAGTTGGAGTTTTCGACAGCGATCATAATAAGTCAGGTTTGAGCATCGCCCCATGACCAGCTTGGTAAATGGTTGTTGGACATTTTCCAGAGCCATTGTGTCTTTCTTTCTCAATCGGCTGTGATCGATAGTACAGTATTCCAGAGTCGGTCGTACTATTGTCTTGAATGACTCAAGTCGTGCTTCAGGTAAAGAGAAAGTTCTGGTAATATATCCGCATAACTGCCTCGCTTTCGCAACCTGATAAAGTGCATGTTCGGAAAAAGTGAAAGAGTTGGAGTACCTAGTTTCTAACTCCTGAACTGAATCAAACGTTGGGATCACGTTTCCGGCAAGTATGATAGAGCCTTCTGGGATGCGGCATCTGTACCCAAGTACTTGGGATTTCACTGCGAAGAACTTCATTAATAAATGCTCACTAGCTATATTTAGTGAGGATTGGTCTTCACAGATGTTTCCCAAACATGTATGTAGTTGGTCTGGATGAAATGAGTAGACCAATTTGACGTCATCTGCAAACAGAAATGGGTGTTCATGTTTGATCGGGTCACACATGTTGTTTACGTAGATTAGGAAAGGTAGTGGTCCGAGCACACTTCCCTGGAAGAGACCGCTGGTTATTTGTTTCGATGTAGAATATTGCTGACCGATGTTAACTACTTAAGTTCGACCGTTTAGCTATGAGTCGAACCAGTTAAACAGAAGATTTCCAATCGCATATGACGATAGAGCAGACAGCAGTGGTCAGTTAAGTGTACGGATATTGCAAATCCGACCCCGAATGCACGTGGTGTTGTGGTGGCGTTTTCAATCCAGTAGAATGTGCAGCCAGCACCAAACACGCGCAGCCTAGCCTGAATGAGTGTGGCGATATCAATGCCGCAGTGCGCGAGTTTGAACGCGACCAGTGCGGTGCATCGCTCCCAACGCTCACTCGTCTCCCGAACGAGTAGCGTGTGCACGTTCCAGCACCCGATGTTGGACGCCTTGCGGGGATGCATGCAAATGCGCCGGGCGATCGCTCATGTGGTGACCTGCATTGGATGGGGTAGTGAATTAGATGAAATGTGGGATCGGGATGAAAGAATTTTCACGGACGGAAGAAGGAAGGAAGCCGCCAGCGGCAGCATGGTTTTGCTAATAAGCCTAGAGGCATGCAGCAGATAAGGCGACTCTTTTCGATCCCATAACACTGGGCAACGGCAGATGCAGCATGATTTTGTCTTATGGTTCGCTACATCCGGTTCTGGATTCGCCTGTCAATGAGGACACAAAAAGACAGCCACATTATGCTTGCGTCATAGTTTTGTCGGGATTTGGTTGGTGACATCCGATACCGTATCTGTTTGACACCACGGGGACAGCCACAAGACGCCTGCGTCTACAGAGGGACCATGAGTGGCTTGCGTTGCACCACCCACAGCTCCAACCACACACCCCATATCCAGTGTAAACCCGAAGGAATAAAAACCGGGAGCAATGCGGATGGGAGCCACGTTTCATCAACGGGGCCGGCCCACACTCTTTCACAGCCAGAAACAAGCATGCTGTACTTGAGGAATCAAGCGCACAGAAGGCAGTGGCTGGACGGTAGTTCGCTCCACACTGAGTGCATGAAACTCCTCTTTGAGCTTAGAACGACCATGAGGACTGAGCACCCCGTCCCTACCAGCAACGACCAACTGTATCAAGGAGGTGAATAGACGAGCCGGTGGGTAAGAGACAAGTAGGCACCTTGTCCACATGCACACCAATAGCAACCACACCTGGGATGTCAAACAACAACCAATCACAGGAAACAAAATAAAAAATTCAAACAGATCGAAAACACCATAGGAATATGGCGCTAAATTAGCATATGATACAAATGGATTATCAACATAGCCGCGATTAATTCAAGATGGCAGAAAAAGACCTGGAGAAACACAAACAAGATGGAGGAAAAACGAAGCTAAGCCCCTTTCGTTTAAGCGACATGTGCAATTTAGTACATTAATCAGGTAGACATTAAAAGGTGGTGACAATATAAGCATTAAGACAGTACAGCAAACCAAAACCGCCCAGCTGAAATAGAGAGTCAGCACGCAAGCACGCAGTTAGCAAATCGAATGCAGCGTACCTACAAACGCTGCGCCGGTTCTGCCTACGTTCTCTGCAGAACCCGTCGTCGCTTCGGTAGTGGTCCCGAGTGGCCTCGCTCATGTCTCACTAGGCCTGTCTGACTCAGGCACTCGCGACCGCATGTGCTACAGCACCATGCGTTCGATGTCGATGGAGTACAACCCATCGGCGCTTGCCGCTTCCGCACTTATCGCTTCTTCTCTGCATGTATGAGGTCTTTTTCCTGCACCTCGGCAACTTCCTTCGTGATCAGATCGCGAAATGCACGCTGACCAACCGCCTTCGATTCCCATGACCTGCAATCAAGATAAGAACGTGATAGGCTCACTTTGGTCATGTCCTGGTAACGAAGATCCGGTTTCCCCACATGCCGCTTCCCAAAACTCAGGTGACCATATGATAGCTGCTTCGGTATCCGCGTCGAATCCATAAGGCACATATGACTGAGTGACCTCAAGTGTTTCAGCAAACGTATGCAGTTCACTGCATACATACCACTTCGGCGAGACACCTCTGTGTATGCAACTCTGTCGCACCAACCGATGCGCAGAATCAGTCGCAAACATTGTTGATGGAACCACTCGAGATATCTCACATCTCGCCGGTACATCGACCATGTTTCACTCCCGTACAGAAGAACGGACAGCACCATGGATTTGTACACCATCAGCTTGGTGCTAACGGTAAGCTGATGATAGTTCCACATTCGGTACCCTAGCTTCCCGAATGTCCCCGCTAATTCCGATACGCGGAAACGAAGCTCACTGTGTATTTGTTGGTCAGTGGAAACCACACTTCCAATGTAGAGGAAGGGGGAGGTGGTTTCCCATACGTCATCACCAATACTGATTCGAAGCACCATAGCAGATTGCACTTCCGGTGAAGGCTGAAAGAGACAGACAGTTTCGCATGTGTTGACGGTGAGTCCGAATTTGGCTGCTGTCGTAGCCAGAGCACTAGTCATGTGCTGTAACTCATACACACTGTGTGCAAACAACGCACAGTCGTCAGCAAACAACAACCTACGGATAGTTGTCTCACAGACTACGGTTCTCGCACCGAAACGCCGAATGTTCAGCAACTCACCATCAGTACGGTGCTCCACACGAACACTGTAAGTACAAGCCGATTCAAAAGCACAAGACATAATGGCATGAAGATAAATATCTAAAATGGCAGGAGCTAAGACATAGTCTTGCTTCACACCAGAGACAACTGCAAAGTTACCCGAGGTCTCTCCACTCAGCTGCACCCGCGCTCGCATACCACTGTGCACACATTCAAGTAAACTTACAAACTTAAGCGGGTAACCGAATTTCCCCAACACCAGCCACAGCGCCTCGCGGTTCACCGTATCAAATGGCTTGGTGAAATCAACAAAAAGCGAGTACAATGGCTAGTGTCATTCTCTGCACTTCTCCTGCGACTGACGGATCGCAAACACCATACCTATGGGGTTGCGACTCGAACGGAATACACATGGCTCCTCCGCCACGTTCGGTTCCACAACCTGACTGACGAGTCAGTTGAGCAGGGTTCGGGCAATCCCTTTGCCCACATAACTCAGCAAGTTGATGCCACAATAATGCGAATAATATTGCTTGCTCCCTTTGCCCTTGCACAAGCACATCCTTTAGCTCAAGAGGCACGCCCTTAATCCATTCATGTTGCACCAAGTGGTGCAGCGCAGTACCAACGCGGCTCCACCGTGTTTTAATACTTCATGCGGGAACCCGTCGGCACTGACACACACCTATATACATGCACATACTTAGAAAACTATTAACAGTAAGCCCACTGCAGTTAGTCAGCTGAAATTTCCTACGAGCTGCATCCATTATAGAATTCAAACGAGTAGCTGCTAGACAACAATCAAATCGTAAAACATTTGGTCCTCTTCATCTACAATCAAAGCACAACTAGGAACTCTGTGTACCAACACTTATCGGCTTAACGAAGCTTCTGTGCAATTTTCCGCCGTTTCTTTAATTTTATGAGAGCTTCAAGCATAACAATGGAAATATAAGACTACACTTTTTGGTGGCATCCCATAACGACAAAGCGCAATTCTTGAGACATTCGCCAGTCCAGTTTCTACAATGTTAAATAAACTAAACGAAATTCATGGAAACTAGTCAGACCACCAGCAGCAACTGGTTGCGAGGCTAATCGAACCGAGGAAATGTGAGCGGCTGAAAGTGGTAAAGCGCTTTTCTGTGTACGGCGATCTGACGGAATCCGGCTGCAATGAATGGCATCAAAAAGTGATAGAAGGCTTCTATAGTGATCTAAACGAACTAGCGCACTCTCCAGCAGCGGGTAACTGTGTTTGGACAAGGCGTATGCGTTAAGCTATCACACCCTCGTATATTAGTCTTCCTGTTGGTATATCAATTACAGAAAACCACTGGTGAGTCACAAATAAAACAGGTGGCGATTGTAGGCTAGCTAAGCAAAATGGAAGCTCAAACATAAGGTTAGAGTGACCGTTGTCGATGGGACGCACATTTCCAGTAGTAGAAGAGTGAACGTACGGAAAGGTGTTGGTGATAGCTCTCCATTTGTTGTTCCAATTTATCAGCCTTTTCTATGGCTTGATCAAGCGTTGTCATGAGCTTCAGAACTTGGGTCTCCGATGCCATGATGGAATGGATGTTTGTCTACATAAAGGCAAGGAGAACGATGACAACAACTTTAGGTTTAGGGTGGCGTGTGCAAGCACCGTAAGCAGCTTCATTGGTGGTGACATGGCCAAGAAGCAACCAACGGCGTCGACGGGGTGCCTGAATACCAGAAGAAAGATACCTGAACGGAAGCTCAAAACCAATAGAGCCCGGTGGGTGACATGAACTCTCCCAAGCAACTTATGAACAAAGGGTGTAATTGATTTGGTCAGATTTATTTAGTTCATCGCAATAGGATTGCGAGCCATGGGTTAGGTTCCTTGAAGGAGATGGAAGGAATGCGTACCAGCGACTAGCCCCAATAGGGTGAAAAGATCGTCTGGTACTTTTTGGATCGGTAGTTAACCTCTTTAGCTCGTGATCTAATTGAAAGGAACTAAGTGAATAAGGGGGTGCGATTACTAAAGTGGATGAAAAGACATGCTGGGTTAGTCAAGTCGTATCCACTAAGAGGAAGACTGATTTATTCCGTCCGAATTCGTTTGTCCGAAACCAGTAAAATTGGGCGGTGCGTAGAGAACACCATGAGCTGCAGACCTTAGGTGAGGTGTGAATGGAGCCATCAACCGCAGTATTAGCAGCAACAGCAGCATACGTTAGCGATAGGTGAGAAACGCCTCGTCTGTTGTGTCGTAAAACAATTTAATTAAATGGCAGTAAAACAATAACAGGATTTTAAACAAAAACAACATGCTAAGCGTTTTATTATGCATCAGGGATAAGAAGAAATCAGACGCGACATAGAGGGAGATACGTGTTCGGCCACGCGGGACGTAATCTTAGTATGGTGAGCAGAAACAAGGAAGCAGGTTCCAAAGGGGCACCATCAATATGCTGGTGCGCCGAACCAACACCGTTGTCCCGCTGCCACGCCCAGATGCGTGCGGGCAAGATGCGAGGTCTCCTGCACTTTATTGCATTGCTCGCCAAGACTGGGCTGATCTCCTGAGGCATACACATGCACGGCGAATTGCTACTGAATCAATGGCATATAAAAACTGCTATGATCGAAAGAGTCGCATGATGAAACGGTCTGGAGGCTTGGTCGGGCATATACTAACAAAGGTGGTGACTTACTTGCTATTATGTCACGCCTGCACATGGAAGTGCGGGTGAAATGTTTCGGAGGAATACACTGCATGGAAGTAAGTATCCTAGAGACAATTCCACGGGTGGTCGTATTATTTCATCTGAACATCTGGTTATATTTGCATTTGTTGTTATTTGCAGTTTCTCGGGCTTTCTAATACGTTCAACTTATTATTTACTTCAACCATCCGAACAATTCTTGTTTTATGCGACCGCGCTGTACATATTGAGAAGACCGACGGCCCGTAGCCTTAACGATCACAAGCCTGCCTTGCAATCTAAGGGCGCGGGTTCCAGCCTGCGTAGGGACCGGGTGACCGTGGCAGTATCCTTAGCCCACGTGCGCGGCACCGAAGCGCCGGTACGACGTACCGGTGTATTGCTGGTGCTTATACTTTTATTTATTATTGATCAGACTACTAAGTTGGGCCGTACCTCCCATTGTCGAGAAATATACCGGCGACCATTGGATTATAAGGCGGAGGCCACATCACTTCAACTGTCGGCCGAAGGAATTAACAACTCACCCCAATTATCGAAACAAACTGCTGTCTATGCTGGTTTGCTGATCAAAAGCAATTACATTCTAGTCAAGCCATTACTCCGGAAAAATACGAGGGGTAGCGTTCGGCCGTCACCACCCTTCCCCAGGCTCATGAATACCGACTTGGATGCTTTGACCGGGACGCGGACTTCTGCAGACCATATGGAAATACGGTTTCGGTCTTGTTGTAATAAGCCGCCGTCGTAGGGGGTGTTTAGCACTCTCCATATCTTCAGATCGTCTGCAAACAAGGCACATGGCGACGGAAGAAGCTGAGGCAGGTCGTTGATATAAATCAGGAACAATGTACGCCCCAGCACATGGGCCTAGGAGCACGACACTGGTCAAATGATACCAAGCGATCAGGCGGCTATCGAGTTGTACCCTCCACTTTCGTCTAACGAGAAAGTCCCGAGTCTACGGGTGCAGAGATCCAAGAACACTATACACTCTCAGCTTTAGTAAGAGGACCTCATGATTCGTCTTGTCGAACGCTTTGCTGAAATCGATGTAGAGCATGTAGACAGACTTCCCTTGGTTTACTGCCTGCATCCATTCATGCCTCGTCACGAGCAGGTTGATGATGCATGAACGACCTGGCGTGAAATCGTGCTGTGCGGGAGTCAGGAGATCTTTTGACCCGGAACAGCTGTAGTAAACATTTCTTCAAATTTTCTCTGCAATCTTGGCAAGAATAAATGTTAAACAAATTGGCCTTTAGTTGTTTATCTTGCTGGGGTCACCGCCTTTCGTAATCGGCCTTACTATCGAGCATTTCCAATAAATCGGCAATGAACCAGCAGAGACCTGTTGAACAGGTAAGTTATGGTAGGCAAGATGATGGTTGATAAGGATTTGAGAATCAGGGGGGTGGAGCCCATCATGCTTGGTGCAGTCAAGATTGTCGAGAAGCTGACGCATCTCTTCCACACCACAATCCAGATTGTCTAGTTCGGTAAGGGTGGTGCACGCCGAACTCGGTACAGACCCCTGGTCATCTGCAAGCACAGAAGCAAAGTGCGCCGCCAATGCAGAAGCACGCTCAGTGCTGGAGGTTATGGACTGTCTGTTCTCGTCCTCTATCACTGGTAGGTTACTTGTCGGCTTCATGCGCCGTTTCATGTACGCAAAGATTCTCTGGGGCGGTTTTTGCTGCGGTTACAAGCTGCTCTTTGAAATGCCTGCGCTTGCTGATTTTCACACCGTTGCAGATATTTTGATGCTTTTTATACATCTCATAATTGTCGTCCGAGTCAGATATAAGGAATTTGTCCCATAGCCTGCGCCATTGCCGAGCCAGCTTACAATATTCTTTGTCGAACCAATGTGGTTTGACCGGTCCGATTTTCCGACATTTGAGAGGCACAAATTGGTTACACAATGAATTTATTCCATTCTTTATAACTGACCAACAAGCTTCAGCAGATGCAGAGTGCGGCAGAAACCAATCCACTTGGCTCGCGGCTCGAGTCAGGCCGTCGAAATCCATCTTCCAATAGTTGTAATCTGGCTGCAGTCATGTTCCATGTTGGCAATAAGAACTGAGTGGTCGCTTACTGCCAGAGGCTCCAGAATCCGAATGTCATACACAGGTTGTTCACAGCGGGTTAACAGCAAGTCTAAACACGATGGAGTTGAACGCGGTGTTATGCGCGTCGGTTGGCAAGTGTGCTGTGCTGCCTCAGTTTCAAGTACCATACCTCACAATAACCGGTGATAAGTTCAATTTCAGGCCAGCGTATTCGAGGGCAATTGAAATCGTCTATGAGTAGAAATTGACTGCGACTGATGTGTTCTCGGAGATGCGGCAGCCAATCCAAACAACGGCTCAGGGGACTGCGATAGAATGCACACACGAGCAGCTCTCCGCCTCTGAGAAGGACCGAGCAGCACAACTGCACATAGGCCATCTTCGCTTCGGTGGACGCTTACGAGTCTCCCACACAGAGAAGACCGGATGCAGAACAAGACGCCACCGTGGGCATTCGATAGCCTATCACAGCGGAAGCACGAGTAACCACTAGGCTCAAATTCCTTGGTGAGTACCCTATCGTTCAACCACGTCACAGTGAGTCCAAGTACATCTGGTCGCTCGAAAGCAACGACATGGCAAAGCTCATCGCGCTTGTTCATAAGACAGCAAACGTTGGTAAAGACTACACGCAGGCTATGATAAGAACTACCGGGCGAGCCTGAAGTGTGAGCGACCGGTTTATCCGAATTCGCGATCATGTTGTACTTACCCGAAAATTTATAATACGTAGGTTTGTTTCTGCCTCACCAGTTCGCCGCTTTAGCTCGATGATGGCACACTTGAAGCGCTCCCGGTTAGCTGGATCGATATCCGAACAAATACGCACACTACCACCTCTCAAGCTACGCAGCGGAGACAGTATTAGCTTCGGGCTTGCCTCGTCAGCAAAAGTTACTCGCATACATCGGTTATTCTCAATAGTGTTTTTGTCTAGGCGGATGACGCTTCATTTTCATTCCGTCCGCATCCACATCGAGGAGCCTATCAACCAGGTTCTGTAGATACTATATCATGATCATAGCGTGCCTGAGGACCTGAACCGTTGAACTCAGACGCGTGAAAAAGCATCAGATTTATTGACCTCGTGTCATTCAAAGTGGTTCCTGCGGGAGAAGGGTGGACTCGAGCGTTGCTTGATCTGGCCTGTTGTTGGTCAGTAGAATGAAGCTTTTCTTCGATTCGCGGCTTCTTCCGTCATTGGGTTTTCCATGGCGCCTCATACATCGAGCATTCATCTGTGTCATTAGAGCTAGCAGAGCGCAGTCAGCGGATCATTAGCCTTAGCTAGTGTCGTGTCTCCGGAACCATTAGGATGGCAGGTAATGAGTTGTCAGATGGCGTTGAATGGGAGGAAGGCTGGGTTGGATGGACTCTTGGCCAATTTGTGGGACGGTAGGCCTAGAACTGTTTTTGGTCGCGACCTGCATCGTTAGACATTATACGTTTCTCCGACTTTCATAGACTGCGACATATATTGCACAAAATTTGGATGAAATCATGTTGAATAGTACACAGAAACCGGTAGGAATCGGCAGGTAATCCGACACACGAAATATGTAATATAGCACAACAACCAAAGCATCTAAGGGCATTTGCCGTGTTTCCAAAAAGTTTCGGGCAAGAACCACAAGGTGATCTCTTCGGCATTTTGGAAAAATGATGCAAAAGTGCCGTAAAGTAGAATTTGCAAAAGTGAACTACTAAACCTGTGGGAAGATACCACACAAAATATGGTCCAGAAATTGCAGACTCAGAAATCAAATTGAATGATTCCGAAATTTCCACAAAATAATTCCAATATGCCGGTAA